CTAACGTGCTCATTAATTGGTACCATGTTTATGTGAAACAAATTCTGCATGAAACCGTTGGATTACATATAATCAGGTTATATAAAATAGTGAAAATGCAAAGTATATTATGTTAATCGAGTCTATATTATATGGAGGTTGTATTATGATGAACACAACATAGCGTCTTTGTTCATTTTATAGACGGCTTTTATATAAAGATAAAGAAATCACCAAACTTAATAAACCGTCCTTTACAATAAGTATTTCCTTATGAGGAAATGTCTATGAAGTCTTGACCGTATTATTGACTTCATTTACCGTACATATTAACATGTGCAGTCAATCCTCGGAAACCGATGTGGCTGTCCTCACCTTTTTCTATCGGTTTTGCGAGGTATCGGTTGTTGCTTATTATTGGTCAATTTATAAATTCAGTGAATAATAATTTATTCCACAAATGTTTTAATAAAAATATTTATTCTCAATAAACCGGACGGTCATCCACAACAAGAATTTATCTTGCGATTGCCTTTTTACAGAAAATGACTCTACAAAGAACACTGTTATTTATAACAGAGACAAACAATACGAAGCCTAATACTAAACTCCACCAAACTATGTTATCATGTTTTCATCACAAAGTCACAATGTACCAAGTATTGAGAGCGTGTACTAGATGCTTGATGTAAATGTAACAGAAAATAAGAAATGCTACGAAGTATAAACCTATCAAAAGTTCTTTGGAGGATTACTGATAAACTGCAATAGATTATCCACACTTTCTAGCACCAACTTTAAAGAAATATTGGGCTGTGGTTCAGCTGCTTTCTCATCATCGCCGTATCAGTGATAAGAGGTATCAGAGAGAATACCTATTTTTGTCCAACAATTTCGTATAGTCGCTTCATCGGACCAACATATGGCATCATAGATATCAATGGGGATGGGTTGGGTTCTTAACTCCACTGCTAAGTCGTATGCTTTGGTATATTTGTTTTCGCTTGCGAGACAGCATTCTTGAAAATTATACTGATACGAATGTACGTAATAGTAATAGTATTAGTGGTAAATTTTTTGCGATTTCATTGGTTGACCAATGAATCAGGTCACGTTCTATTCCGATAATTTGTACTACATTATAATATCAGTTTTCCGAGGTTTGACTGTACTTCGTTTGGTGGATTAAGAGGTGTTGAATAATTATTAATGCTACGCTATTAGTTACATCTGCAATGTTATTCTCCATTCAATGTTGAAACTCAAGCAGCAATTATCCTAAAACGATTACATCGTATGCATTTAATATTATTGTGTGTCAGATAATCACTAAAATTCATTATAGTCAATTCTGTGCTATACCGGGTTTTGCTTTCACTGGCTTTACCAAGCGTAACATACAGCAAGTAGCAAATTTCAACTCCTGTAACGGCTAATTCATTTATATCAGCTTTAGCACAGAGTCTACGGTATCAGTAAATCACGTTGTAACAGCTAACCAAACTGCTCCGCAACTGTTACCATACAAAAAAAAAGAGATTGTCGGAGAAACTAAACGTATTAGACTTTATTAACAGAGTTGCAGAAAGAAGAAATTTGTCAGACCAAGTAATTCTATAGCATTTATAATCGCTGAATCTTACTAATGCAGAAATTGCCGTAGCGTTTGGACAAAGGATGAAACAAGGAAATCTAAATGGTTTCATAAGTTCAAATTCAAATTAGTCATATTTGTTAGAGCGGTTCACATGACAAGCTTTTATACTAGTCTCACTAACTGCACACCCGTATTAGATTCTGACTTAATATGATCTAAATTTATATTTTAACGATTATTCAAATATACCGTATTGAATACCTTTTCTTGAAGGCATTTGGTCGGTCGAAAGCTCTCAACAGAACAACACGCCCGTATACTAATATTAAAGGCCTTCTCAATAGCTTTGAATTTGGAAGCAGGCTTTCTAAATTGAGTAATACCATATTTACCTTTATGCCGATAAATTCATATGTGACTGCAATTAAGCATATGCGCATAAATAACGCCCTTCCGTATGAGACTGTTATACTGTTAGTTATGATGTTATCAATCAGCCGGAAAAGACTTATTGCCTTCATAGGAACAGAAGTAATAAGAATTTGATGCAAGATTAATTGATATAGAATTAGCATTTCTGTTTGATTCGATCGATGTCAAGTCAAGGATTAATCGTGCACCTCGTTTACTTTGGCCAAAAACAATGGCTCATTGGACAGACGTATTAATGACGAGAGTGAGTATAATAGTTTAAATCTCATTTTCGCATTTTGCGATCTACGTTCAATCGACTTAGTATCCTACAGCAACATCCTAACTATTTATCCCCCCCTTTTGACCTCAAACTCCTATTGAAATTGGCATTGTGATTCAATAATTAGCAAATTCTCTGGGATATCGCCAACTAGAACAAATGTTTGGTGTTAGCCAAAGATCAGTCGCACATTTTACTAAACGATTTATTGAAGCCATTCCAACATTATTATCATCATTTGTATCAATTAAATTGTGGATGTTTGTGTAATAAAGAATTCGAGCTTCTTAGGCATTGCAATGAATATGAAAAAGAAAAAGATTTCTTGACTTAAGTTAATGTATGTTTATCTCATGTACTGTTCTCGTCACATCACATCGATCACGAGATGTCAGGCAACAGTTTGAATTATGTTCATATGAAAAATAAACAATTTCCAATTTAGGGATGCCCCTTTTGGGAGGGCATCAAGGGTTGATGCCCCACAAAAGCTAAATTTGATCGGGGATCAGGCTGTTGAGAACCCTAAGTAATTAATTAATTACTGTATCTCCAAAAAATTATCATCCTCGGATAAGCTTACTGTTTTCTATGCTTGTGTAAGTGAGAATTTCTGAGCGGCTAGATGAAAAAAGGGTAAAGACACAACAGTCACAATGATACTACGATTTACTCTCATAAACCACTAATTTATAATGCTCACAAATAGGTTCATAATTGAAGTAACAATCTATAATTTCGATCTCAGTAGTCTCACAAAGTCGAAAATAAACAAACACATTCTCTCTTTTTTTCCTCAATTGCCAAGTTGATGTCTAGAGTATTTAAATTATAAAAATTTTATTGCATTAGTCAATAGTATTAAAAGAATCGAATTATATAGGCAATATTCTATACAATCTGTAAACTAGATCTCTCCGCATAAGATTGCTTACATAATTATAATGATACACTCTTGGATTTTACACGCACATTATGTGCAAGTTATATCTTTTACAGACGACATGGAGTAATTTGCAGCTCACAAATACGCACCTCTCAATTGTTTTACAGAACTTAATATAATACAAATTGCTTTTTACGTCAAGTAACTAATGAAAGCTCGCATATCGTATAACTGCTAAATTACCTGCCCGAAAAATCATAGTATAGTTAAACTCCATAACAGAATCACCCACCTATTATAGAGCGTTAATATTAGTAGGGTAGCTATTGGTAAAATCGCTCTGTGCGACACTCGATTAATCTTCTTCTCATAATGTGATTACAATTTGCAATGCCATATCATATCGTTAGTTTGTTGTAGAATATACAGTAAACTCTTTCTAAATGCGAGCTCGCTTACCTCTAAATTCACAGTAAGCGTCAGTTCCATGCGCGCTTTATGTTCTACAAATGCAAGGTTTTCTTTTAGCGATTTCTACAAGAGGGTGATCAAGTTAATTAAAAGATTGTATGGGTATAACATAAAAAAACCTGGACGCCAGGATTATTTTGCACAAAGACTTGTGGTTATTAAATTAAGCATGCAGGATGCCTATCAACATTTGGGGGTTTTCGACGGCCTTTCTAAATCAAGTGATACCGTAATTTACCTTTGTGTAATGCAGATCCGGTTCATTTCTTCGACAATCATTTCCCCAACAATCATTTCCCGAAAAATATTTTGACACCAATTATTTTATCAAAAGTCGTTCGTCAATGTTTATTATATATAATCTGTAAAATTATCTCAAACTGTAATGCTTCTGTGTAAGCTCAATCCGTCAAAAATGCTAACTTTGTTCGCCAGATTTATTTTTTTCTAGATAAACTATCGACAAAAGATAGCTTCGAAAATAATTATTTATCAGGAAATGATTATCGGTGAAGAAAATATCCGTCGGGGAAATAAATTGTCGGGGAAAATGATTGTCAGGAAATGAGCTACTGGAGAAGTGATTGCTGAGGATCCCGTGTAATGTACATTTCGTGTAATCTGGCATATAAACCGTTCTAATGTTATCCATAGCTGAAGATTTCTATTGCAAGCCGGTACGTTGTGTAGTGCCTGCATAATAAAATCCAAATTCTTTTTGCATTGAATGTAATATAAAAAATTGCTCGACTCAAGCTAATTGAAAGTAATTGCTTTCCTATTAAACTAATTGCTTTCGCCGCATCGATCGTAGAAAACCATTGCTCATGTAAAAGAACTAAACGAGTTTTAATTTAAGCAATGTCTCTATAGATAGGATTAAATTAGTGCCCCTTAAATTCCTGGAATCTCTCATTAATTTTGAAATTCGATCAGAACAAAGCAATTGAGAACGCTTTTAGAGCTTATTTTTAATTAAAGCACTAAATGTATTAAAGTCATTAATTTTAGTGTATACTGTATACATATCAAAAATTTGATGTAGGTCTCCTGCATGCACGTTGTTAATCCCGTGCATTTAGGGAGGGTTTGAGTGATTGACTAATGCTCCGACGTTTCATTATATCATTTATCAGGCATACCCGTAAAAAGTAGAAGATCGATGTATTACATAATTTGTGTGAATACTACAATATGTTATTGTGAGTTCACATGAATAGGATTTCACCTTTTTTCTATTGGCTTTTGTTTAGCTATTCTCTCTCTTTTCTAGTATCGTGTAGAATGTTAATTAATAAAGCCATTCTCTATAAAAATGGCAGCGTTTTGGCTTGCTTTGATTACAAATTCAAATTTAATATTTAGTAAAAGCCATGACTCGAAACCTTTTCTTTCTACTTTTTTTGTTGGCTGCGATTTCAGTAATAAATGCTATTCCGCACAAACTCAACAGACGAACTAGTGTCTTTGGACAATGTCCTTTAAGCCCTGCTTTGCCAACATTCGACGCAACAATAGTACCTGATCCTGTCGTTGGAGGCCAACTCGCTACTTATAATATTTCCGGGACAGCGCAAACTGATTTTCCCGATGACGCGGAAATTATCATTCTTATCAGTGATGCATTCGGCCAAGCTCCATATGATTCACCATTTGGTGGCGACTTTTGCAATATTCCTGGAAACCCGCCTTGTCCAATTAAAGCTGGAACCTCTTTTAATCGATTATTTTCATCAGTTCAAACTCCGGACGGAATACCCTCAACTTTTACCGATACTATCTTAATAATGCAAGCCGATACAACAACTTCCACTATTGCCTGCGCAGTAGCTACTGTTGCTTAAACCCTGTCTGATGTAGTTGATTTTTTCTTTTGTTTTTTTTTTTTTTTATATTTATTTATTAGTATTATACAAGAGCGTAAAGCATTGGTGTCTAATTACTACTAATAATTTATTTCTGCGAAACAAATTATAGTTGCTCATGTTAGACAATTTACCTTCTGTTTATGTATAGTGGTTAGCATGATTAAAACTAAATGTAATAGAGAGAATTACTTAAAGGAGCGTCTGTATATTATTATCTTAAATAGCGCATATAAATCTCAATTGTAATAAACCAAGATTATTTTGAGCTAATGTAATTCACATGTCACTACTTGGTATAGAGTAGTGTAGAGCAAAGATTTATGTTGGTTGAATTTTAATTAAATTGAATTCATAGTATAACGACATAGAACATGTTTTATTTCAATTGTAGACTAGCCTTCTGTATGAATAGAATGTGATACAGGCTTATAAGGCTACTTCTCATAAAAAACATATCGAATAAAAAACTTACTGTTGTGTCTAAGTTTGGGACCTGTCTCAGTTCGGAACCCAGTCACTCAGTCCAGAACTCAGTTGTCTCGGTCCAGAACCCAGACACTCGGTCCAGAACCCAGTTGTCTCAGTCCAGAACTGAGACAAGTCCCCAACCGAGGTACAACAGCTTCTACGATAAGATTCTAGGAACAAGGCGATCATATCCGAACAAAGTACAAACATAACTTTGTATCTACGTACCGAGTTTGGATTTATAAAGCCGTCTAAATTTGTGTTATCAAATGATAAACAAGCAAGTTACAAATTTACTTGCAGTCTTTATTTGGTTTAATACCGTAAACATTTTATATGTGACTTATGCAATTACCTTAAATATGTTTGGCCTCTTGTAATAAAGTTTTTATTCCAATTTTTAATGCAAATTAAAAATTGTCGAATACTCGGACTCGCTCCGTTGAGTTAGGTACCAAAAAAAAAAAAAAAAAGGACAATTAATAAACAAATTTGCAGTTTATCTGCATTATTATTGGAACGTTGTCAGGTTGGCCATTTACCAGATAAAAAACTTTCTTACCAATCTCTATTGGTTTATTCCCGTTCAGTAAACTATTCAGATAAAAACATACACGAGTTTTTATATGTTCTGAGACATTAATGATAAAAAACGATGTTCGTTCTAAATCTACGTGGTATCTTATCATCACGTGCTCGAATGTGCTATATAGGTAATTTCGCTCTAACTTCTTTTGACGAATTCTCGGTTATAGCTTGTCAACAATGCAATGCAGCTTAATTTTTTGCCGTAGCACACAATTGATATTATTTATATACGATGATATTAACCTGCGACCTGTGGAACGTGAATTGAGCATTAATAATACAATCTAACTTTCATAAATAAAATACTTATTAAAAAATAATTTTTCTTTGCGGTTATATCAATATAGAATTGTCTATAAAGAAACAAGGACGTTCTTTTCTGCAAGTTATAGTAACTGTGATGAATATAGCCAAGAAAACCCACACATCCATCCCACACTTTTAACATCGTACATACGGTATATTCTTATACAAGAACTTGATGAAGCACTCTCCGTCTACCATGTTAGTAGACGTCAACCCTCGTTTGCGATCTTAGTTTGTGGTAGTTGCAACATGTAAAAGTGGCAGTTTACTGTCATACCGAGGACAGGTTGCTTGTGCACATTGCACAGGGCGGATAAACAGTCTAATCTTACTACACTTATCGGAATGTCTACTCTATGCTTTGTATAAGGAGTAATCTTCATTGCAAAGACCAACATTAATCCGGTCATTATTGTGTTAAATACTATATACAGGAATATACTGTACGATGTTAAAGTGTCGGATAACTTTGTGGGATAATATGACTATAATGTAATGATGTGATGTACGAATTTCCCATACCAATCATGCATATCATGATCTTCGGTGACCGGTTTCCACGAATCAAAAATTGAATCTTTGTAAGTCTTTTGCGTCAACACCTTACAACCTTGTTGAAGAATAAACATGTTTTATAGCTTGACAGAAAGATAATGTTGCATGGATTGTCGTTATTAGTATTACAGAACCACTTGATGCTTGGTACGACTGAATAGGCACAACGTTTATTGAATTGAGCAATTCTTTCTTTCCACTCATGCTTTGTCTGGCTCGAAGTCAGAAGAAATTAACAGCATCGCTATCTAAATACATTTAGAACAATACATTGTTGTTTCAACGCTAGACCGGTCAGTTATGTTTGCAAATAGTATCTTGTATTCTTCTTTCACAATAATAAGTGTCTGTAAATAGCCAAAGAAAACACCAAGTCAATAAATTACTTGCTTAAAAACACAGTCAACGAAAACTTGTTTAAACGTATCCAAGTTTGCTTTCCTGATTTTTTTCGTAATCAAATTCTTTAGCTTGCTAAATATACAACTCTACTACAATTCTGTTAATCAAGTTCTTTCACTCTTTAATTATTGTAAACATGGCTTCTGTAGACAGACTTTTGACACTTTTTGTTGTTCTTACTGTTTTGCTGGCAACTTTGGCAACGTCTACGCCAATCTCGGACATTGATAAAAGAGCATTTGTTCAAATAATTTCTTTGTCACAGTCTGATGTTTGGACTATTCAATCTACACAAACTATTGCTCAATGCCAAACTACAGTTAACATATAAATTATTGATTTCTTTTTTAAACATAACTATTAACAGAGTTTTTGCTTTTGTATAATAGACGAGGTAAAGATTGACGTCAACTGCAACGATAACATAGTATATATTACAGCTGTAAGTATAAAATCAATAATTAATTACTTTGACGTAAATAAAAAATTATAATTAATTACATAACTTGGATTTAGAATAACAATGTTATTTCCAGTCAAACAAACATTGAAGTCAATTCAAGATGGACCGTTAAAGGTTATACTTGTAATTAAAGTATCGCTTAAAAGTGATCCAAGCATTTTTACAATTAGTTTGGCAGTTACTATTGTTTAATTAGAATAATGATAATTTTAACTTTAATTAGTAAACTTTTTTGAGACTTGACAATTGTTATTGTTCCGATAATTAAAATGTCAACTCTTTATAGACACTACACCTTATAAGTGCGTTCTCATCCGTTAACGTTAACCTCCTCTACCAGATATGGTAACGCTTCGAGTTACTAAATTTGGTAGGGGAGATAGCTACTTCCCCTACTGCATTTGGAAAATATCATTATTGACTAGCTCAAATGGGTCAGACAAGACGCAAGCCTATTATGATATAGGGTGCTCTAATCAGTACCAGATTTGGTAACGTTTCGTTACTAAATTTGGTAGGGAAGATAGCTTAGCACTCGGAGAGGTAAATTACTTCCCCTCTACCTCACCCAATCTATTGCCAGATTTAGCAAACTACCTACAGTCGACCCTCCATATATGCACACCCTTGGGAATGAGCTGGAGCGTGCATATATGGAGGGTGTGCATATATAGAGAGTCAGCATTTCATTGGTTGCAGGTGATATATATATTATTTATTTATAATAATGAAAAACAAAATTAAAATACCCGTTTATTATTTTTGATTAAAAAAATTGTCTATGGTTGTTTGTTTTTTTGCATTCATCAACTTTAGACCAATGTAGTAATCAAGAGCATTAACATGCTTAAGTAACTCTTTAGAATCTTCTTGCTGTTGCAAAAAGGAACGAACTAATTCTAAACTTTTTATAGCATCATTGGCATTGACTACTGGCAGTTCAGCGCTGTCGTCAATTTCACTATCATTAATATGAATGTCTGATGGTTTAATATTAAACGAAGGAATGATAAAGACTGTTAAACAACGACGATTCTTTAGAATAGAAACAAAGTGTAACCAATAATACAACGTAATATGTAAGTATTACAAATCACACTCTTTGTATGATCTTTACTTTGTTTAGATATCCTGTGTAATGGGAATTATCATTTGTTGCACAAAATCACATGAAAATCACGGGCGTGCATATAGGGAGGGTGGATTTCATATAGCGGGAAGTGAAAAACACCGTGCAATGCAGAATATAGAGGGTGTGCATATATTTACTAACTCCCGAGCTTGGGAATGGGACTTGGCGTGCATATATGGAGGGTGTGCATATATGGAGGGTGCATATATGGAGGGTCGACTGTACTACTAAATATGGCAGGGGAGGTACTGATGAGAAACGCAATAAATAAAAGGTACGCATAGTGAATCCCGTTAAACCGAAGTAAATCGGGAAATTCGGTTTATTTAATATAGAGGTTTTAGAACTTACCTTCGGTTTAGCAGGTTTTTACTTAATCCTTCGGTTAAACAGGGTTTGGATTAACGGGGTTGGCTGTGTATACCGTAATTCGCGATTACGTACTAAACAATGATAACGGGAACAATTGTTATGTGACAATCTGCAAATCATTTTGTTTCAAGGAGGCATCTCACGACCTTATTCACGGTAAATGCTTTTTTTTACTAACATCCTATTACTATTAAAGAAACCAATTTTATCAAAAGGTGACGGCAGTGTAGTGTGTATAAACCCTGTTACAAATTATATAAACAAGGAAAAAAATCGGACATTTTAGTCTTGGAGTAATATCATGAAAAATTCCAGTAAAAAAAAAACGTGTAAAGGACATATTCAAAGTTTTAAATTGTGTATATTGTCGAGTTAATTACCACGGGAGAGCGATTGACAATTAACCTTGAGATTTAAATTCTTCAAACAAGGCTGGCAATACCTCTGCGTTAAACAGTTGGTAACCTTTAATTGGTTTTCTGTACTCACAACTCTTACGCTCGGTCTTGTATATGCAGACTCTCGATTACTAATTAAACTGCAGCAACTGCCTCTACTCTTATCAATGGGATTAATTCGATAATCTGTAGATCGGGGGATTGTTTATATCAAAGTGAACATGTTTATAGACAATTTGACTAACAGTCGTATTTTTTCCCAACTCGGAGTATCGGAATCTGCGGCTCGTATGTGCTACTAAGGCGATTCAATACGATTATATGCTTGCTAAACCAATAAATATAATTTGAGATCGAGCTGATGGTTGTGGTTATATAAATAATCTGGTACGATTTACCATGCTGTTGTCAGCTACGAAACTATAACTGCTTATTCATATTCCTATTGTTTACTAACTATGTCTAAATTGGAACTATTGACTTGAATATTCGCAAAACTTATTATGATTTCCAAGACTATTTCTTACTGAGTACAAGAGTAAGATGAATATCGAAATGCATGTATAAATAACTGTTTATCGTATAGTATACAACTATTTTACGTTTCGCAAATATTTACTGTGAATGATGTAGATATAGACACAAGCAATCTAATTATAGTGTAGTATTAATAAACTTAAGTAACCATAATTGTTGTACGAACCTCATACGGATTTTCTAATAAGCCTGAAAATAAAGATAATTGTTTGACTGCAGATATGCATCTACTATCTACATCTTTACCACGCATCTATTCGTAATTACCCACACTATTACCCTTTTCTCGGTACGGTAAAACCGTACCAGCAGTCAGATAAAATAGCCATCGGCTCTCATTTCCTTCTCCATAGAATTTCCATAACTTTCTTTGTTTTCTTTATTGCAGTAATACCAACCTTTATCATTTGTACACATAATTTTTCTCTTTTGCGTTTTCTATTGTTAATGGTAATACCAACCACGCTATCATTTTGGTGAAAGCCGTCTTTTTCTGTGCTTAAACCGCTGCAAATAGTCTGCCGTTGAGCTCCTTGAGTTTGATGTATCTGTTAATACGTTTATTATACCACATTGAGAAGGAATAATGGTTGTGCGAAGGTATGAGATATTTGCAGCACAAGCGATAAGAACGCCATGCATTACACACACTCAACTAACATGATCAATAAGAAAGTTGTGCATCCTGAAAGATAAGAATCCATGTGCTAGAAAGGATTACAAATTTGTTACAACATTACATAATACGAATATTATATAATATTTTAAAAATAACTGAATAAGCAGGTTTGTTATTGACATGTCAAGATGATCTGATAGTCAGATGATCGCTTGATTATATCGATTGTTCAACAGTCTGACGAGATTAAATGTTAGTTGTAATGTTATTGTGTTGTCAAGTTCGGTATTGAATACTCATTACAGGTAGGGAACATGTAAGAGAGTGCCGTTCGTAAACGGGGATATGCTGCTCCAACCTCGAAAGAACATCTTTAAAGGAAGTTATATAGTTAATGCAGGGGGTCGTCCGTCGCAGGGTCATACCATAAACATGGCACAAGAGATGGTTGATATGATATGATTATCTACAACTGCGTAATCTCAATCTATTAAATATTTGTATTTGTGTACTACAAAAACAAACATTTACATATGCCTAAATTAGGGAAAAAAGTCATTTATCAAAGAAGGATAACAATGAGAGTATTTCTGAGTAGAAAACGAACAGGGAAAGTTATATTTATAAACGCCCCCGACCATTGCTGTGAAACGTGACTGCGGGAAATGGTCCGATGTGTCGTGACAACTGTATTTTTCCGATTTGAAGATAAGTCACTGGTCTAATCAGATACTACGCCATTATTATTATTGTCGGGACATATGTATTTTGCTTATTAATAAATACAGGCTCTCTCCCCTACGATTAATCATATTATCATGCACAAAGAGCCGAACAGTTTTTCAGCATACAGCTGTATAGACAATATGTGCAAAAAACCTAAAGATATAGATGCTTGTACGTTTTCCCCAGATGGGAAGCATTTGGCTACGTACTCGGCATTAGATGGACTAATCACAGTATACGAGGCAAATAAATTAATGAATAGAATATGGCAGAGCGACAAAATCGCGTTAAAGCCAAGAAGATATTTAGAAGAAAGGAGAAGTTTTAATCCGTCTTCTACTGCTACACAAACAATGACAAACGTTGACTTTGCGTTATCTAATGGAGGTAAACGAGAACAATCTTGTAGTAATATTTGTTTATAAAAAGTTAAAGATACCAATTAACTAAGCCACCTATCAATAGGCAAATTCGTTGCTTTAAGTATCATCAAGCTTCCTCAAGAGAAAGAAGATCCCAAGCCATTTAGTGTTCAAAAGCCGATGTCTGGAATTCCGGATGAATTTTATACATTTATGGTTAGCACTGCTGACAACCACATTGTCACGGGGATAGAAAGCAATAACTGTGTCATAAATCTCGACAACAATTGTCCACGCTTCATGGATCTGAAAGGAGCCATTAGGTTCTCGACTGACAGTGCCAACTTTCTTTCATGCAATGTAGTTGCTGATGCTGGAAAACACTATCTTTACGTCTATTCAACAAGCAATTGGCAAATGATTCGGAAGATGAACATTCACATATTTGTTAATGATCTACGAACTGCGTCACATCCTTGGACCCAAGTTGAATCAGTAAAAAGTTCGCTACACGGTGAGCTTTTTGTGAGCATCGAAAAAGTAAGTAAGTTATAGTGTTGATGTATTTATAGTTTACACAAATGTATTTACTTCCAATCACATTTATTTCTAGTGGGACGTCCTGTCATTTTGGTCTATACCAGAATGCAAGCTGTTGACCCGTTGTCAAAGCAGTCATTTTGTAGACGTCGACGCAAGGCAAACCATCTTTGCCCACTCTCCTAACAGAAAAATGCTTGCAACCTGGACTCCAACCGAAAGGCTTGTCATCTTTTTATGTGAAGACGGTATCTTATTCTCGGATTCGATGGCCCCAAAAGAACATTTAGGCGATCGTAGTAAATCAGTGAGGCAGTTAGTGTGGATTGGGAACAAACATATAATGATTGTCGATGCAGTCGGTGGAACGAAATGGGACATTAATACATATGATCTTATCAGTGAATACCATGATTTTGGAAAGATGCCCATCTTCAAATCTACAGGAGAAGACGTCTATGCTACCTGTGATAGTGATAACAACATTCCAGTGATCAAGCAGTTAACCGAAACAGACCTAACAGCTTCATTCGACAAAGGTACAGAGCGGTCGGAAGGAACAACAAAACTGTGTAAATACGATGGCACGACGCTTTATGAAACAGGCATGAAGTATGTTGATGGCGGGAATCAGGACAAATTGCATGAAATTGTTGAGCTTATGGTAGAACCATGGTACTTTCAGAACAATCGAACTACAACAATATTTCTGCTAGACGATTACAATAATCAAGTACTTCTTTTCGGCAAACAGACAATACAGATGTGGAACTTTGCATCTGAAAAACCAAGCTTACAATACATTTGGTGCAAACCACCACTACCTGCAGTAAATTACAGTATTGACGAGCCTTCGCTAG